ACCGTCGCCGGTGGTGGCACCCGGGATCCCAACCAACGCTCCCGCGCCAAGACCGACGCTGTCGCCGGCGCCGGCGCCGACTACGTTCCCATCCCTGAGGCCTCTTCCTATGCCAACGGCGGCACCATGGAATCCGTCTCCGGCACCAACTGCTGCGCCGATCCCGGCTCCCAGTCCTCAACCATCGCTGCAGCCTATCCCGTCGCCGTCGCCGGCGCCGATCCCGGCTCCCAGTCCTCAACCATCGCTGCAGCCTATCCCGTCGCCGTCGCCGGCGCCGAGCCCGGCTCCGATCCAGCTGCCGACGTCCCGCGCTCCGATCCCCGCTCCGAGCGCTCCACCGTCGTCGGCGCCGTCCTCCTCAACCCCCACCGCCCTGCCAACCACGTCGACGCCCACGACGGCCGCGCCCTCGTCGCAACCGACGTCGATTCCCAGCGGCGTGCCGACGCCCGCGCCGACCCGGGACACGGTGTCCCTGGAAATAGCTCTCTACACCCAGACGGCAGACGCCAGCTACGCAACGGCAGAAGACTATTGCGACGACTATTACAGCGCGCGGATCGATGAGATCGAGGAGGCGGTCGTCTACGACTACGTCGACGAAATGATCGCGCAGAGCGGATCCAGCGCCAACAGCGTCGACAGCCTCGCCAGCATCGATGCCATGTGCTCACCGAATGGGACAAACGCGACGGACCCCGGGGAGGCCGTCACCGCCCTGTTTTCGATCCGATTCACGGCGTACGCGTCGTCACTCTTCTCGCGTGACGACGGCTCGACGCTCTACACGGTCAAGGAGGCGCTCAACGCGTTCTTCCAATCGAAGGTCGACTCGGGGGATTGGGCTTCGGATCGCATCGCGCAAACGACGGACGACAGCTGGATGGCGGGTTCCCGACGCCTGGAAGAGTCCGCCGCGGCGCAGGACTTCATCTCGCCCCAGTCGGTCGTCAGCGTCGAGACCACCATCGTTGAAACGCTCAATCCAACGAGCGGGCCGACTTTCTGGCCGACGTCGCTTCCCTCGCCGTCGCCGAGCGCGTCGCAGCGTCCCTGCATCTTATTTATCCCTTTCGAAAAATGAAATCTCTGGCGAACGTAGGCGCCCGACCCGCGCCATCACCGACGTCGACGCCGTCCAGCGCGCCGTCGGCGCCCCCGTCGATCGCGCCGAGCCCGAAGCCGTCTACCTCGCTCCCAACGACTGCTTCGGCGTATCCATCGTCGAAGCCAACACCGAGGCCAACTGCGGCACCTTCTTCGCACCCGACCAGCCCGCATCCGACGTCGAGACCGTCCGCGAGGCCGACGCCGCGACCGACGCCCGCACCGTCTCCACAGCCGGGGAGCCCCACCAGAGTGCCGGTTCCGGCGCCGACGGTGATACCGACGACTGCAAGCCCGAGCTCTACGCCCACGGTCACGCCCTGCGCCGTCCTCCGCGCGCGCGGCGAGGTCCCCGCGGAGCCGCGCCTCGCGCGCGCGGACTTTTCGACGACGGGCGCGGAGCTCGTCGCCGCCTTCGACGGCCCCACGGACAAGGCGTCGGCGACGACGGGCGCCCGCTTCCCCTGCGCCGAGGTCCTCGACTTCGACGGCGCGGACCGCGCGACGTGCTACTGGATCGACGCGAGGTCCGTCAACGCGGACGTCGCGAGCGCCGCCGTCGTCCCCGGCGGCAACGTGACCCTCGCGGCCGGCGCCGTGCGGCGCGCCTGCGATGCCGGCGCCGAGCGCTGCGACTGCGACCGCCCCGCGAACGCGTCGTCCGCGCCCGCCGCGCCGCCGGACCCGCCGCTCGTGCCCGTCGCGCTCCTCGACGGGCCGACGACGGCCGCGGTCTGCGAGGGCGTCGTTGTCGGATCGTCCCAGTCGACGGGCAGCGGCGGCCGACCGTTCGCCTACGCGTGGAACGCGACGCTCGTGCTGCGAGACGACTGGGTCCCGTCGGCGAACACGACGAACGCGACGCTCGCCGCGCGCGCCGCGGTCGCCGCGGTGCTCGCCGCCGCGAACGCGGGCGCCGGGTCGCCGACGCTCGCGGCGTCGTCGGACGACCTCATCGCCATGGCCGCGGGCGGCGCCGCGGGCCTCGAGGTGTCCCTCGTCCTCTCCAACTTCCTCGGCGGCGCGAGCGCGCCGTCGGACCCGTTCCCCGTCGCGATCCGCACGGACACGCCGCCGAACCTCGAGATCGTCGGCGGCGTCGTCCAGTCGACGACGCGGCCCAAGGCGCTCAGCGTCCGCGCGAACGCGCTCGCGACGTCGTGCGACGGCCGGCCCATGGCCGACCGCGCAGTGACCATCGCGTGGGCGCTGAGCCGCGTCGCCGCGGACGGGCACCTCGAGGCGACGGGCCTCGCGTCGACGTCCCGGGACCCGCGCTACTTCAAGCTCCCGCCCTACAGCCTCGACGCGGCGTCGGCCTACGCGCTCGCGGTGACGGCGGAGGACGCGGCCGCGGGCACGAACGTGACGTCGACGGTGGACCTGGCCGTGGGCCGCGCGGCTGTCGTCGCCATCGTCCTCGGCGGCGACCGCGTGCTCCCCCTCGCGGGGGCCGTCGAGCTCGACGCGTCCGAGTCCTACGACGAGGACGTCGACGGCGCGTACGGCGCCGACGCGGGCCTCGCCTTCGCCTGGAGCTGCGACGACCCGGCCTGCGACGCGCTCGTGCGCGGCGCCGCGGACGGCGCGTCCGTGGTCCTCGACGGCGTGGACCTCGGCGAGGGCACTTGGGTCTTCGCCGTCAACGTCACGTCCCCCGACGGCCGGTCCGCGGCGGCGGCCGTGGTCTACGAGCTCGTCGACGACGACCCGCCGGCCGTCGAGGTCGACGCCTGGACGTCGTCCGTCGGCACGCGCGTCGCCGCGTCGAAG